GCCCCCCCCCCCCCCAGCTCACTACAGCGACTCTTCCTCTTCTCACTTTGCCAGAGCCACACTGGCAGCCATCCAGTTCTTCCAAAACGCCAGCCAGGTCGTCCCACCTCAGGACCTTCGTTCCACTGTCCTCTGTGTCCAGACCATCATTTTTCTGGCTCCATGGCTGAGAAATGCATTTCCTTCTCACTCTGAGACTCAGCTTAAATACCAGTTTATAAAGTGCTCACATAACAACTCTATCTAGATTCAACTTCCCATTTTTCCTTCATTTCCTTCCCTTCCATGTTAGGTGCCTATTTCCCTGTCGGTTTCTCCCTCTTCCTTGTTATACTGTGAATTCTGCGAGGGCAGCTCACCTGTCGGGGTCAGGATTTGATTCCCAGTGCCCAGCAAAAGCCTGGCCTAACAGAGGTCCTGCACAAACACAGAAATGCCTGGTGAGTGAATAAACCGGCATTCCCAAGATACCACAAGCCTGGTCAGCTGCAAAGAACACTTCCCTGTGACTTTTTCGAAGAAATAGCAATGGAGCCAAATGCCTTTCTAGCTCCATGCCCAGGCAGTGTTGGCATTCCGTTCTGGGTTTCCTAGCTGTCACCACCATCTGGCCTCTTCCAATGCAACACCCATCCTACGCTTCCACCCTCTGGCGAGGTTCCCAGTCTGCCTGCCCCACCCACCGCCGGACGCGCCCCCTCTTTGATTGGTGCGCTAACCACGGGAGGGCGGAGCGCCACCGCCAGCCGCTACTGGCCCACGTTGACGTCGCTCGGCGGAGCGCGGCTGGAAGTCGAAGTCAAATTGCTGCTGCAGGAGGCTCGCTCCCAACGGGATTTCTGATTGGCTACGATCACTGGCCGACGCACCGCCTTGCCGAGCACCAACTGGTCCAAGCTACTGTCAGTCAGCGGGAACAGACTTCCCCTCTCCATCTGGCCAAGAGCAGGCGAATTTTTCGAGAATTTCCAGCAGGCGAGGCAGTGGCTGTTTGAACAGCTCGCTGCGAAGATTCTTACCGACCGAGAGGGCCCCATCCTCCGTCCTCCTTTAACTCTTTAAAGCATTTCCAGGGACATAGGCACCACGAGGTAAGAGCCCAGACTGCGATTCATCAAGTGCTGTTAGCCGTCGCTAATGTTCTTTACCGCGGTCCCCGGAATGCAGAGTAAACGGCGGAGGGACCCCGGGGAGGCGAAGGCAAGGAGTAGGTTGTTTCCCCAGGCCCTCAGTCGGCGCCTGAGCCCGCGGTCCGTCCTCGGGCTCCGTATGCGCCTCTTTCTTCCTTTCGAGGTCCAGGACAAATGTCCGGGTGTGGCCCACTCTGGATGTGCCGCTGGCAGCGGGCCCAGATCGCGCTCGGCCTTGAACTTGACCGCAGGCTGGAGGCAGGCGCTGCGCCAGCCGGGCAGGTGGGATGGGCCGGAGGCCGAGGGAAGGGGTAGGAGGGAGGTGCGGGTGGCAGCCCGCGTCTCCCAGCATCCAGGCCCCGCAGGCGCCCTGTTGGAGCTCGCGGAGGCGAGGATGCTAAGAGGGTCAGGGCCCCGTGGCCGCCTAGGGGAAACTCGGCGACCCCGGGATCCGTACACCTAGAGGGAGATTGGGAGGCGGAAACCCGGCGGCGGAAGGTGCCGGGGAGCACAGCCGTCTGCTGCGCCGTCAGCTGCGCGGGCGGAGGCGTTCTTCCTGTCGAGTGTCTCACCCGCCACTCGTCTGTCGCGGCCAGCCTGCAGGGCGCGGGTTCTGAAGTGTACACAGGTGAGCTTTGTAGCGGTGGGTGTAGAGAAGGATGCAGATCCCTGGCTGGTTCGATCGGAGGGTCGGGTCTTGGTTGGCCAGGAGGGCTCGGTAGTCGCAAGGCCTTGTGGCCGCTAATGTCTCCTTAAGCAGCCGCTTTCTGCAGATTAGAGAAACCAGAGGAGGTGACAAAGACGAGGCTCCGGATAGAAATACCGGGGACTTTGCAGTCTCTAAACCTGTACTGGTTTTTCTAAGCATCTAACTGGAAATTTGAGCAGAGAGGCCTTATCAGTGCTTGTTATCCTGGACTAGGACAGAGGGAAAAATGAGATTGTCAGGGGCGATTTCAGAATGCGTGACAGAAGTGACACAATGGGGGACCAGCAGTTAACGTAATGGCTATGTCGCTGGACTCCCACGTAGGTGACCGGGGTTCGAGTCCCGGACATATTTAAACATATAGTCACATCGGGACCTAAGGGGAGTCTTTTGGGCCTTTTATTGTAGTTCCCCCCCTCAGGCGGATCAGTAAATTTTCTTTCCTTTGCTTTCCAGTAGAGTATTTTTTTTCTTTTTTAAAAGAATTATTTTTTATTTTAACTGTATTTATTTTATTTTATTTTAATTTGGCCAGAGTGAGAGACAGAGAGAGAGAAAGTGAGAAAGCAAGCCGCCAGGTCTGGGACTTGAACCGTGGCCGGCCATGTGGGAATCCAGCACCCTTAACCACCACGCCACTTGCCACTTACCGCCCCTCCAGTAGGGTATTGATAGAGAAGGTATTTGGGTTCAAATTTGGTACAATACATTCCAGACATTTTTATACCATCTGAATTTGTTCAGATGCATTGTGTGTGTGTGTGTGTGTGTGTGTGTGTGTGTGTGTGAGCTTAAAGGTTGGTAAATAGGCCAGCCAGGTGCCTGATGGTTAAGGTGGCTGGATCCCACATTGGTTAAGTCCCTGACTGGCAACTTGACAAACATTCTGGGCTTCTATGCGTGGGTGCCAAAAATCCTGAGAGGAAAGTAGAGAAGGGATTGCAGCGTAGCCATGCCACAGAGGGAGATTTCTCTCTTTCTCTCTCTGTCTCTCTCTGGCCAGCCAGCATATGCACACTATAGCAAAAACAAAACAAGAAAAAAACAATTTGGTTTAAGAGCATTAAAAATTACCTTCTGTGGCCAGCTGGTGATGAGGTGGTTAGGCTCTTGACTCTCACGCCTTAACTGTGGTGGACTACAGTTCGAGTCTTGGAACTGGCAGCTTGAAAATCCACTCCAGGGGTATGTGCATGTGCGTCCAAAGTCCTGAGATGATAATGGAGAAGAAGGGACCGCAGTGGGTCATCTCCTGTGGAGGGTGATTTCTAACTTTCCTCGCTCTGCCTCCAGCTATCACATGCACCCTATGGCAAAAACCTTAAAAAAGAATGAAAGGAGGAAAGAAAGAAAGAAAACTGCCTTCAGTCTAGTGGAAGTTACTGATAAGAAGATAGCTGGGTTCTACTTTATAATAAACAGAGAGGAATACTTTCTTTTTTTAAAAAAAATTATTTATTTAACTCCATTTGTTATTATTTTTTAAAAGTTGACCAGAGACAGATAAAGAGAGAGAGAAAAGGAAAGGGAAAGTGAGAAAGCAAGCCACCAGGTCTGGGACTCAAACCACGGTCGGCCATGTGGGAGTCCAACACCCCAGCCACCATGCCACCCACTGGCTCCAGGAATACTTTCTTAAAATATTTTTTCTAGAGGTCTAAAATCTAAGCAGGATTCAGTAGTACTGATCTGTAGAACTCCCAAACGATGTTGGCATATGCTTAAAGTGAGCACAATAAACTGCCCCTTGACCTGCTTTTAACACCCAAGAACAGCTTAACTCAGATCCCTTAAACCCCAGTGCAACTTCTGGCCAAAGGCAGTGTGACCCTTTTGGATGACTTGACTTTCAAAGATCGAATGGAATTGTTCAAATAGTTTTAAAATAAGCTAGCCTTAATCTCTGATGGAAAGGTTGGCATGAATCTCCTCTGCCGACTCAGAAAGATTCCCAGATCTGCCAATTCTGCCAATTCCTAGTTTGCAATGATAAACTCATCACAATTCATAATTGCTGAACTGACAAATGATGGCACTTTTTAGGTATTTGTTCTCCACTGTAAAAAAAATAAGTATTTATTTTGGGGGCCAGCAGGTGGCATGGTGGTTAAGGTAGCTGGACTCCCACATGGCTGACCATGGTTCAAGTCCCAGACCTGGCAGCTTGCTTTCTCACTTTCCTTCTCTCTCTCTGGTCAACTTCAATAAAACAAAATTTAAAAATAATGACAATGAATAAAATTAAATAATTCTTTATTTTTAATTTTATTCACTTTTATTTTATTATTTTTTTGCTTGGCTAAAGAGCACGTGTGCTCACCAGAGAGAGAAGTGAGAAAGCAAACTGCCAAGTTCAGGACTCGAACCGCTGTTGGCATGTGGGAATCCAGCACCTTAACCACCATGCCACCTGCTGGCCCTGTTCTCTAATTTTTGTTATAGAAAACACTGATTCTCTTGCCCTTTCCTGTTAGCCAATGCATAGTCATTTCTGTGGGCATCTGGGGAGATGGGGAAGTCCATGGTGGCCAATTCCAGCTTTGAAGCCCCTGAGGAAACTTTTCATCTTGTGGTGATTTAACTCAAAATTGCTATTTAGCTTAAGAACACAGGTTGCCTTTGAATGATTTCCTCAGGAATATGGAGGGGATGATTTATTATACTGCAATGAGAAGGGGGATGGGGGTCACTTCTTTCTTTTTTCTTAGATTTTTGCCATAGGGCATGGGCTCTTGCCAGAGAGACAGAGACAAGGAGAGAAAAAGTGAAACCCCCTCCACCCCACACACACACACTCCCAGAGGGATGACCATATCGCAATCTCTTTTCTTCCATTCTCCTTCTGGGATCTTGGGTGCACATGCACACGTGCCCTGTGTGATTTTCAAGCCACCAGCTCCAGGACTTGAACCACTGTCGGCTATTTGGGAGGCCAGCACCCTAACCATGATGCCATCTGCTGACCATCAGATGGAGTTATTTTTCAAGTGGCCCATCTAGGACAAGAACTGCACAGTTGACCTTGGAGGACCCAGCAGCTTTAACCACCAGGCCAGCTGACTATCCCTGGAACTTTTTTTTTTAACCAGGTGCAGGACTACAAAGTAGCCCAAGGCTGAATACGGTGTGTATATTTTTCAGACTAAAGCCAAAAGAATCATATGCTTTGCTAATCTCTGATTTACTCAAATATAAATGTATTTATAATTAATGTATTTGTTTATTAACTTTTTTTTTTTCGTTTGGTATAGGGCTGCTTTGGCATTATCTCCACCAAGAATCAGTATTTCTATTAGTTCCCTGCTAGGCTGTGTTACAGCTGAAATTTCCCAGCTAGTCATCACTTGTATTTGACACATTGTTATGGTTACTGAATAAAATGGTGCCTCAGTCAGAAGCAAAGGAACAAATACCTCTTTTTTCGGTTATGAAATGTGTTACTTTTCTTTGATAACTAGATAGGCTAAATGTCTCTCCTCCCCGCCACCCAATATTGTCATGTGAGGGTGAATTTCACTTTTCTATGCAGGATCTTAGCCAGAAGACCAAGAGGGGATGACATCCTAAAAAAATCTTTTTTTTTTCTTTCCATTTTGGTAAAATTTGTGCATTTTTATTAATACTTTCAAAGTCTAGGGGCCAGCAAGTGGCGCAGTGGTTAAGGTGCTGGACACCCACATGGCTGACTGTGGTTTGACTCTCAGACTTGGCAACTTGCTTTCTCAAGTTCTTTCTCTCTCTCTAATGAGTATGTGTGCCCTAGAGCAAATTCAAAAATAATGATAAATAAAATTAAATATTTTCTTAAAAACTTGCTAAGTCTACATGTTAATTTTTTTAAGAATTATTTCTTTAGTTAGTTTATTTGTTACTATTTTTTAATTTGACCAGAGAGGAACAGAGAGAGGAAGGGAAAGTGAGAAAGAAGCCGCGAGGTCTTGGGCTTGAACCGTGGTTGGCCATATGAGAATCCAACACCACAATCACCACATCACCTGCTGACCCCTAGATTTTAATGTTTAAATACAGATGAAATCTAGTGAAATATTTGAATATGTAGTACGAATTCATTTTATTATTTTTCTAATTTTATTTTCGAATTTCCTTTTAATTTTACCAGAGGGCATGTGCACTCACCAGAGAGAGACAGAGAAAGCACCTCCCCATGGGGCACGGGCATGCACATTCTGCATTTCTAATCAGCTCCCTGGTGATACTGAAGCTGCTAGTTCACGGACCATACTTTAAGATGTAATATAGAATAGAGGGGCCAGCAGATGGCTTGGTGGTTGGGAGTGCTGGACTCCCACATGGCTGACTGCCATTAGGGTCCCAGACCTGGAGTCTTACTTTCTCACTTTCCCTTTCTCTCTCTCTCTGTCCCTTTCTGGTCATGTTTAAAAATCTGGACAGCTTTAAAAAAAAGGGGAAAAAAAAAAAAAAAAAAAAAACCCTCCTATGTAAAAGGAGTTAAATAAAATAATTATTTTAAAAAAAAGAATACAGGTGTAAATAAATACGTGTTCCTTCATTAATTCCTCAGCTTGGAGGAAAAGGTAGGGCAAATATTAGTAACAGTAATTAAGTCTCTGGGGAGGGACAGAAATAAAATTTAAAAATACCTGGTAAATAGAATATTTACAACAGTTCTGTACCCAAAGAATAGCCACGTCTTAGCAAAAATACAACCGAGGACCCAAGTTCCATCTTAAGGTTTCTCAGCTTACTGAACTGTGCACTCGCAGGTGTAGGGAAAAAAAAAGACATATTTTTCTATGTCTTTCTATATGAAAATGCGCTGTGACTTTCCCAACAGCTCACTACACCTACCATGGTTAATGCAAATCCATTCATGCAAACATGGGCAGAGCTACAAAAAGAAGCCAGTTCTGATGTTCCCCCCCTTCATGGCACACCCTGTCTGGGGAGGGCGAGTGGTTGTGTGAGCTTAGGAAAGGGTGGTGCTGCGTTGGTGACAAGCAGTCCTGATTCCTGAGCAAGTGACCGAGGTGGTCTCCTCTCTTTCCTACAGTGCCAGCAGCCCACCCACACCTGGGCCTGCACTTCATTGAAACCATCACAGTGACCTCTGTTTCTGGACTCCCCCAAAACCTGATTTCTGTGCCTCTCTGGGCGTTACAGGTGGTTATGGGGAATTCCCACGCTGTTGCAGGAAGGGCTGTGTTTCTGGTAGTTTTCCAAATCCACTTCCTTAATAGTTTGTTTGGTTATTTTGTGAATTAAAAATCTGTTGGCTCCATGGCCTGGTGGATAAAGGTGGCTGGATCCTACATAGTCACCATGCAGATGGAGTTCCAGACCCAGTGCCTTGAGAAACACACCAGGTACATGCCAAAAATTCCAAAAAAGGGGAGAGGTGGAGGAGAAGGGGTTGTAGTGTAACCATTCCCCTGTGGCATGCCCTTCTCCCTCCGCTTATCTCTGTCTTCCCGCATGCACCCTGGGGCAAGTTAAAATAAATAAATAAATCTAAAAATCAACTCAAACAATGAAATAATGTTCAGATTTGATCATGCTGGAGGAAGTGTAAAGGTGTTATATTATTCTCAATTGTATATTTGAATTATCCCACAATAAAAAAAACCAGAAACTTGAAAAAATATAATTTCCCTAATGGCACACACAAGCATACAAAACCCCAGCTTGAGTGCACCTTGAGAAAATGAATTATAAATTTCAAACAATCATGTTAAAGAGAATTTCTGGCAATCAGTCTACGTATGTGCAGGAAGGGCCATTACTGCTTTCAGAAGGATAAACATTCACAAAAGGATAAGTTTGCCAAGAACAGCCTTGGATTTTGTTTTGTTTGGGCTTGGTTTTGGGTTTGATGTAGAGTTTGTGCACTCACCAGAGAGACAGAGAAGAGAGAAGGAACAATGAGAAATCACCCCCTTCCAAGGGAATGGCCATACCGCAGTCCCCTCTCCTTCATTCTCCTCTTGGGATTTTGGACGCACAAACACCCGGTGTGATTTTTCAAGTCACCAGGTCTGGGACTTGAACCATGCGGCCCATGTGTGAACCCAGTACCTTAAACACCACGCCACCTGCTGGCTCCCATCCTTGGACTTTAACTATGGTTAGCCATGTGGGAGTCCAGTGACGTAATAACCATTATGCCATCTGCTGGTCCCAGCTCCCATCTTGGATATTAAGCAGTGAGAAAATACCTGAGCCCTGCTTTGATGCAATTTAGAAGGAAGATTGTCATCAAAGCTAATCATGTATCACAGTAGATGCAGGAAACTGGGAGACAGACAAATGGCAAGAGGGGCACATGGAAACAGTGTTTGACAGACACAACGTAAGGCTCTTTGTTCAAAAAGGTATAAGGTAATATCCATGGTCTAATAATCACAAGCTGCATGTATGCTTTGTATTGTACATCATAAAGAAGTACAGCAATTAAATGTAAATAAGAACTTAGAGGATCGGGGCCAGTCAGTGGCATGGTGTTCAAGGTGGGTGGATCTTATATGGTCAACTGCATGCTTTGAGTTTCGGACCCAGAGGCTTGAAAAAGGCCAGGCTGGGGCATGCACCTGGCAATTTTTCAAGACACTGGGTCTGGAACTCCAGCTGCATTGGTGACTATGTAGGATCCAGCCACCTTTATCCACCAGGCCATGGAGCCAACAGATTTTTAATTCACAAAATAACCAAACAAACTATTAAGGAAGTGGATTTGGAAAACTACCAGAAACACAGCCCTTCCTGCAACAGCGTGGGAATTCCCCATAACCACCTGTAACTCCCAGAGAGGCACAGAAATCAGGTTTTGGGGTGGAGTCCAGAAACAGAGGTCACTGTGATGGTTTCAATGAAGTGCAGGCCCAGGTGTGGGTGGGCTGCTGGCACTGTAGGAAAGAGAGGAGACCACCTTGGTCACTTGCTCAGGAATCAGGACTGCTTGTCACCAACGCAGCACCACCCTTTCCTGAGCTCACACAACCACTCGCCCTCCCCAGACAGGGTGTGCCATGAAGGGGGGGAACATCAGAACTGGCTTCTTTTTGTAGCTCTGCCCATGTTTGCATGAATGGATTTGCATTAACCATGGTAGGTGTAGTGAGCTGTTGGGAAAGTCACAGCGCATTTTCATATAGAAAGACATAGAAAAATATGTCATGACTTTCCTTGCGTGTGCACAGTTCAGTAAGCTGAGAAACCCTAAGATGAAACTTAGGTCCTAGGTTATGTTTTTTGCCAACATGTGGCTATTCTTTGGGTACAGAACTGTTGTAAATATTCTATTTACCAGGTATTTTTTTCTTTTATTTCTGTCCCTCCCAAGAGACTTAGTCGCTGTTACTATTATTTGCCCTACCTTTTCCTCAAAGCAATGGAATTAGTGAAGGAACGCATATTTAGTTGCGCCTGTATTCTATATTACTACTTAAAGTGTGTTCCGTGAACTAGCAGCTTCAGTATCATCAGGGAGCTGACTAGAAATGCAGAATCTGGAGCTGGCAGGTGTCATGGTGGTTAAGGCTCTGGCCTCCCATATGGCTGACCATGGTCTGTTTGAGTCCCAGACCTGGTAGCTAGCTTTCTCACTTTCTGTTTTTCTTTATGTCTCTGGGCAAAATGAAGAATAATGATAAACAAATAAAATTAAATAATTTTTTTTAAAAAAGAAAGAAATACAGACTCTTGGGCCCCACCCCATACAAACCGAATTGACATTTAAGGTGTGTTTTGGTTTTTTACTTTTTTTAGTTTTTTTGCCATAGGGCATGTGTGCTCCCCAGAGAGGGACAGAGAGGAAAAGTGAGAACTCACCTCCCCAAGGGGGATGGCCATGCTCCTATCTCTTCTCCATTCTCCCCTCTAGATTTTGGGCACATACACATGGACCTGGTGTGATCGTCAAGTCGCCGTCTGGGACTTGAACCATGGATGGGTGTGTGGGAGTCCAGTGCATTAATGATCATGCCCCTTGCCACTTGCTGGCCCCATTCGCTCCATTATTGTCACTGTCTTAGAGGTCGCCTGTTGGGGGCCGCTGTCGTCTTCCATATGGAAGCCTGTGGGAGGATCCCAGGCTCCAGTCCTGGGTCTCCCTGTCCACGCTGGGCAGACACCCTGTGCCCATGAGTGCCCCGGGGCCTGCTAGCCCAGGCTGGGGAGGGAGTGGTGTGAGCCCCTTAGGGTACCTCTTACATGCCTACCTGGTATATAATAAAAACATAGTACGTATTTTCCCTCAGGCCCTTCGTGGCCTCCATCTTTAATACCCAACCACATCTCAGCTCTCTTCAGCATCACGGTTAAGTGTCTCTGTCTCTCTCCTCCCCGGTAGTTGCATCTTTTTCTGGAAGACGCCGACGGCATCCCCACTCCCTGGCTCGCCGACCTCGCGGTCCTCCAGCGGCAGGTGGAGTTATGTCCACAGCAGCCTTCCTCACCCTGGTGCGAAGCGGCGGGAGCCAGGTGAGGAGGAGGGTGCTGCTGAGCTCCCGCCTGCGGCAGGACGACAGGCGGGTGACGCCCACGTGCCACAGCGCCACCTCGGAGCCCAGGTGCTCTCGGTTCGACCCCGACGGCAGCGGGCGGCCAGCCACTTGGGACAGCTTTGGGATCTGGGATAACCGCATCGACGAGCCCATCCTGCTGCCCCCCAGCATCAAGTACGGCAAGCCCATCCCCAAAATCAGCCTGGAGAACGTGGGCTGCGCCTCGCAGATCGGCAAGCGCAGGGAGAACGAGGACCGCTTCGGCTTCGCCCAGCTGTCGGAGGAGGTGCTCTACTTCGCGGTGTACGACGGCCATGGCGGACCTGGGGCTGCCGACTTCTGCCACACGCACATGGAGAAGTGTATCCTGTACGTACGGGGACTGTCACGCTTGACCCCGGTTCCCCGCGCTTCACGTTTAAGCTTTCACCCTGGGCCGAAACTTACAGTGCGAACGTGGTTACTTGAATGATTTTCTTTTTTTTTTTTTTTAAAGAATTATTTATTTAATTTTTATTTTTTATTATTAGTATTTTTTAATTTGCTCTAGGGTTAGGGTGAGAAAGCAAGCCACCAAGTCCAGGACTCGAACCTCAGTGGGCCATGTGGGAGTCTAGCACCTTAACCACCATACCACCTGCCAGTCACACCGGAGTGGTTTTCTACTGCCACTTCAGGAAGAGCGCTTGTTTAAACGTGCAGTGTGTTGCTGATGACTCTAACCACTTCTGGGGAAAGTGTTGCCCGTTGTCCACCCCAGTTTGTGACCGTTTCACGTGATGAGCGTAAAGTCCGTGAAATACCCTAGGACGGCATGTACCCCTCAGTGCAGGGCGTGTGCTGAGAGCTTCCGTAAGCGTACTTACTGCTCCTAGTCGCATGAATAGCTTTGAAAACTTGACGTGCCAATTATCGCTTCCGATGACTGGCATCAATTGGAGAATGTATTTCTTTATTTATTTTTAGAATGATTTAATTTAATTAATTTATTTATTTAAATTGGACCAGAGAGGGACAGAGTGAGAGAGGGAGAAAAGGAAAGTGAGATAGAACACTTCCAGGTCTAGGACTCAAACCACAGTCAGCCATTTGAAAGTCCAGCACCCTTAACCACCAAGCCACCTGCCAGGCCTGGGGAATGTATTTAATTCCGCTATTTCAGAGCTCTTTAAATAGATTTTTTTAAAAAAAACGAATGATTTATTTCACTTTATTTATTATTATTATTTTTATTTTAATTTGCTGTTGGGCATGTGCACTCACCAGAGAGAGACAGAGAAAATGAGAAAGCAAGCCACCAGGTCCAGGGCTTGAACTGTGGTTGGCCATGTGGAAGTCCACTGCTTTAACTACCGTGTTACCTGCTGGCCCCTTTAAATAGATTTTTTTTACCCAAATAATTGTTACTGAACTTTTACTAACTTTTAAAAGTTCATTTATTTGTTTATGAGAGAGAGTGTATGTGTGCATGTGTGAGAGCGTGAGTACCCTCAAGAGTCTTGTTCACCAGGATCCCCTTTCCTTGGCCTTTCAGCATGTCAGTCTTGGGTGCCCTCATTCAGTATGTTTCAAGCCAACTAGGAGATCAGAACCCCCCAGCTGGCCATATTGCTTCCAATACTGCAGTTCAGTTTGCTAGTGACTGGGCTGCCAGGTTGTGGGTCTATTAGTATACTGTTGAGAATTAAAATTCTGTAAAATTTTTGCCAGAGAGTATGTATGCTTAGCAGAGAGAGCGACAGAGATAGAGGGAAACTGTAAAAGCATCCCTCATGGGGGATGGTCACGTCCTAATCCCTTCTCCATTCTCCTTCCTTCCTGGATTTGGGGCATACATGCGGATGATGTTTTTCAAGCAACCTGGTCCCGGACTCAAACTGCACAGTTGACTGTGTGGGATCCAGCTGCCTTAACCACCACGCCACTGGCTGCCTAATGTGACTATTTGCCAGAGGGTGCATGTGCCAGCCAGAGAAAGTCAGAGAAGAGAACACCCCCCAGTGGAACATGGTCCAACGGCACTCCCTTCCCTGTTTCTCCAACCTGTTGGATTTGGGGGCATGTATGCACACTTGCCTCGTGTGTTTCTCAAGGTGCCATAGTTGAGATTTGAACCACATTGTCAGCCATGCGGAATCCGGCCTCCTTAACCTCTGGGCTCTGGGGCTGGCCCTCATCATGTATACTGTTTGTCAGTTGCTTAATACATATTTGTCTGATCATAACAGTTTAAGTTTACACAAAGCAACTCTTCTCGGGGTCATGGCAGTGGGTGTTAATTCTTTAAGGCCAAGGACCTGGTCTTTAGTTCTTGTGGCCTCAAAAGCCTATTCCAGGGGCCAGCGGGTGGCATGGTGGTTAAGGCGCTGGACACTCCCATATGGTCGACCACAGTTCGAGTCGCGGACCTGGTGGCTTGCTTCCTCTCTTTCCCCCTCTTATTCTCTGTGTCTCTCTCTGGTCAGATTAAAAAAATAAATGAATGAATAAATAAAATTAATTATTTTAAAACAAAAACCTATTCCAGAGCATGATTCCTTTTTTGTTGTTAAGAATTATTTTATTTAACTTTATTACTATTATTATTTTCCAGTTTGATCAGACAGAGAGAGTGAAAAAGCAAGCCACCAGGTCCAGGACTTATCAAACGTGGTCAGCTATGTGGGAGTCCAGTGCCTTTTAACCACCCTGCCACCTGCCAGCCCCCCCTGGAGCCTGATGCCCAGAAAGCATTCCTTAAACAGTGGATCTTTTTGTTTTTAATTTGCAAAAGGGCACATTCATGGAGGGGAGAAAGAACACCCCATGGAGAATGGTCGGTCACACCTCCTCCTGTCCCTTCTCCATTGTGCTCTCCTTTCAGGATCTTGGGCATGTACACACATGCACCTGGCATGATTTTCTTTTTTTAGAGAGAGAGAGATTTTTGCTATCTGGCACGTGTACTTGCCAGAGAGTTAGAGAGAGAGAACATGAGAAATCACCCTCTGGGGGGATGGCCACACTGCAACCTCCTCCCCTCCATTTCTTCTCTTGGGATTTTGGGCACACATGCACATGCACCCAGCGTGAGCTTTAAGTCACTAGGTCCAAGATTTGAACCATGGTCGACTCCGTGGGAGTTCAGCGATGTAACCATGCCGCCATCTGCTGGTCCTCATGCCTGGCATAATTTTTCACGCTGCCAGTCTGGGACTTGAACTGGGCAGTTGGCCATGTAGGATCCAGCCACCACTGGCGCACACAGTGGGTCTTAAGTATCTGACAAGAAAGTCCTGAGGTCTCTTGTGTTGAATGACTGCTGGATAGAGTGACTGGGAGGAGAGAAATCTATTGTAAAATGGTCTTTCTGGTTCTCTTTTTTCCTTCCCACAAAGGGATTTGCTTCCTAAGGAGAAGAACTTGGAAACGGTGCTGACCTTGGCTTTTCTAGAAATAGATAAAGCCTTTGCCAGTCATGCCCACCTGTCTGCCGACGGTATGTTAAACAGTCTCACTCCTCGGGGTCCCGGGGGTGGGTTGGACAAGTTAAGCCCTATGGGGAAGAGACTTTAATGTATGCTTGTTTTAAGGATTTATGATAAATGATTTTATATAAAGAATCACTTTCAGTGCTGTTTGCAACTAATGTCAGTATTTCTTTTAAATGAAATATATTGGAGAATGTTTTAGAAAGAGCAAACAGCTCCAAAACCATTCTAATATTGTATTTTAATTTTTTAAATAGGCATTTATGTATTTATTTATTTATTTTATCTATTTATTTGTTGTGATTTTCAAGCTATTGGGTTTGGGACTTGAACCTCTGTTAGCCATATGGGAATCCTATACGTTAGCCACCATGCCACCTGCTGGCCCCTGTATTTTAATTTTTTAAAGATTTAAAAATTTTAAATCTGTTTGCTCTTTTTTAAAAAAACAGATTTACTTATCTATTATTTTTTCTTTTTTAGATTTTTGCTATAGGACACATATGCTTGCCAGAGAGAAGCAGAAACAGAGAGAGAGAGAGGGAAAGTGAGAAATCACTCCCCAGTGGGGGATGGCCACACCACAATTCCTTCTCCACTCTCCTCTCAGGATTTGGTGTGTGCGCTTGCGCACACACACACACACACACATGCCTGGCATGACTTTCAAGACGCCAGGTCCAGGACTCGCACCGCAAAGTTGGCCATATGGGATTCAGCACATTAACCACTACGTCACCTGCTGGCCCTGTTTTCTCGTTTCATTGACAGTATGTCCATATTATGAATTTTGGAGCTGTTTGGTTTTTGTTTTAGATGGGTCTGATGAACAAGGACTGACTACACTACAGGGTAACCCCGTCTAGCTAGGACAGTGATTGTCCAACGGGAAGAAAACTGCTGATACATCCAAAATGAGAAAGGACAGTGGCTCATGTGCACTAACATGTATAATGAGAAAGGAGATATTTTTCTCCCACTTCTTAAAACAGCTCCATCTTGCAGCTTTCCTGTGGTAACTAGTGATATTTTTGTTTAAATTTGTGAAACACAGGTGCTTGCCAGCTGCATTTTACAGCTTGCGTACCAGGTGTCCTTCAGTTTTGAAAGCAAAATATTTCTAGTTTTGACTAAATGTATCAAAACTGTTTTAGGAAAACGTAGCTAGTGTCTTCTAGTTAGCTGGTCCCCCAGTCTCTTGCTGTTAAAGTTAATCCTGATAATGTCTTCAGTGGCCATGTGCATGCATGCCTGTAGACCTGGGAACTGATCGGAAAGTGAATCATGCTTAGCCCTTGGTCTGTATGCGGTTCATCTTTTTCGTAAAAAAAAAAAAAAAATTTAAAAAAATATATATATTGTACATATGCACCAAAAAAATGTCATTTTCCAAGTTTTTGGTTGGAGTGCATGGAGATGAAAATGCTCCCCACTTCACAGATAAGAAACTGAAACTCAGATGTGAAGGGCAGTTCAGAGTCGGCGCTGGGATGTCCCTGGCTCAGTGACCTCTCACAGGTTACTTAGTGATGAGGAGAAGGCGACTCTGGGGGAGTCCTTTTGCCACGTGGAAGAAGGTCTTCCTGCTCTTCTTTCCACACACTCCCAGCAAGGCATTGTAATCTCTCCCCTTGTTCGGGGATTTGTTTCCTTCTTCGCAGATTCTTCAGGCCCGTTTTCCCTTCTCCTTCATTATTTGTAACTCCCCCCCTCCCAGCTGGCCCTCACCTTTAAGATAGGAGTCCAGAGAGGGCAGTGTTCATGCATAAGATTTAGCTCCTGTTCCTCATGGACCAGACACGTGAGGAAGAGAAATGAAGTGCCTTTTTGCCTTTTTGTCTTTTTATTAAGTTTGTTTTAGAGTATTTGCTCTTGCCAGAGAGATAAAGTGAGAAAGCACCCCCTAGGGGGGGATGGCCACGCTGCAGTCTCTTCTCCTCCATTGTCTCTGGTGATTTGGGGCACACACACACACACACACATACACACACACCTGACGGGTTTTTCAAGCCACTAGATCTGAACTCTAACTGGGCAATTGGCCATGCAGGATCCTATAGCCTTTACCACCACACCACCAGCTGGGTCTGCAATGCTTTCTTACAGTTTGTTTGTTCGTTTGTTTTTTAAAAGGATTTTTGCCCTAGGACATATGCGCCTGCCAGAGAGAGATACTGAGATGGAAAGTGAGAGGGGATGGCCACACTGCAGGGCCTTCTCCTCCATTCTCCTCCAAGGATTTTAGGTATGCTCACACATGTGCCCAATGTGATTTTCAAGCTGCCAGATTCGGGACTCAAACTGCAGTGGGCCATGTGGGATTCCAGCTGCCTTAACTACCACACCACCTGCTGGCCCTTTTTTTTTTTTGCTATAGGGTTCATGTGATTCACTGGAGACAGAGACAGAGAGAGAAAGTTAGATAGTACCTCCCACAGGGGTATGGCCACTCCATAATCCCTTCTTATATTCTTCTCTTGTGATTCTGGACACACATGCACACGCGCCCAGCACGAGTCTTCAGATTTGGGACTCAAACTGCAGTCGGACATGTGGGAGTCCAGCAACATAACCAGCATGCTACACACTGGCCACTCTGCCGGCCCCTCTTAACAGTTGTATTTTTCTAGCTCCCTGAATTTTAGTATGCGCTTACATCCTCTACAGCCAGGTTGGCTGGGAATTGGGCTACCTCTTACCCCATGGTGTTTATGTGATGCTGGGGTGAACAGCTGCCGCTCACTGGGCAAAGATTTCAGAGGAGAAAGTTCAAGTTTATCTTGGGCACATGGCCAACAGTAAAAGCCCTATCCTCCATGGGTGCATCAGCCCCTTGTAAAGGACCTCCTCAATGTAGATGCTTAAAACCACCCCGATAGATTTGGTGTAAAATATGAGAGGATTCCTTTCTTTAGTTAAATTATAGTCAAAGGGAATTTTGTACCAAGGGAAAGAATTTATTTAACTGGCCTGTGAAAAGATGCCCTTGTCGCATAGACAGTTGTGGAAAGAAATTAATCATAAAAAGGTCATTTGTTTCTAATAATGCAATTAAAACATGTTATTTAATTTAGGTCCTTTGTCATGTGCTCCCCAAGCTTTCGTGAGACATTTTAAAGTTTTTCATTTTATAGCCAACTGTTAGATGGTACAGTGGACCAAGACAGAATATGCCTGGTGTGTTACCAGAGAAGAAAGATGTATTCTGACATTGTTGTTAAATCTTATTTTGTCTGTGTTCTTATAGATCAATTAGTCTGTGGGTGTGTGTTTAAATTAATGTTTGGGGAATATTTTACAAGTTCTTCATAAGTGGCCATACCTTTCAAAGATGGCAAAAACTGATATTTGGGTCCTATTTGATCAAGTATATTAAAGCCACTGAAGGTAGAGTGCTGTACGTTGTTTACCTTTTCAATTTGAGGATTTAAAAAAACAAACAAAAACAAAACTGCCGTTTCAGATTTCAAAATTATTTAAATTTGAAAAAAAAAAACAACTTCGTTTGATTTGCAGTAAGGAGCGAAGCAGTATCAGTATCATAAGAGGCGACAACCTTCGCTGGGCATAGGCGTGGGTAGGACAGCGCTGAACGAGGCTGTGTAGTGAGTGCCCTTGTCCTCCCAGTTTCTTTCATTGTTTCTTTCAGCATCAGGTGCATTTTCCCTCCCCCTGAGCCCGTCCTCTGAGGGCAAGGACTGTGGCTTACTCAATTTTGCCTCCGATGTTGGCATCCTGCATAGAATCTGGAAGGCTCTCGGTAATTATTTGCACTCGATCTTAGCCAAAAGGCCAAGGAGCAATGACACTTGGTAATTATTTGGACTGAAGTAATCCCCACTGCCTACTTTTTCTCACTAAAGTTATTATAATTTATTTTTTTGATTCTCCAATAGCTGATTTAACCAAATTATTATTATTTGTTTTTAATTCATGATAGAGCACACGTACATGAGCTCTGTAGGGCACCTGTGCTCACTGGAGAGAGAGAGGGAGAGTGAGAAATTTAACCCCTGAGAGGATGGCCATACTTCAGTTCCTTTTCCTTCATTCTCTTCTCAGGATTTGGGGCATTCATATACACGTGCCCAGTGTGTTTTTCAAGCCCCCAAGTCTGGGACTCGAACCACTCCATTGACCATGTGGGATCCAGCCATCCTAGTCTCCATGCCACCTGCTGGCTCTTTAACCAAGTTATTAATGAAATGCGTGCATTTTAATGAATTGTCATTTCTGGGTGGATCTGAATTTTAAGTAGCAGAAACTGCTAGGAATTGGTTACAACCATACAAATGAATTCCTAGGGTGGAATTTAAGGTATAAATGAGAGGAGTGTCCCCAATCATGCCACATTAGCTTTCTTTCTTCTTTTTTTTTAAGAGATTTTTTTTTTTTTTTTTTTAAGGTGTTTTTTTTTTTTTTTTTTTTTGTGCTATAGTGCGTATGCACTTGCCAGAGAGACAGAAAGCAAAAAATCACCCCCCAGGGCGGTTGGCCACACTGCAATCTCTTTTCCATGCTCCTCTCAGGATTTTGGGCTTCCAACACACGCCCAACATGAGTTTGAAGCCCTTGGGTCCAGGACTCAGATTCCAGTTGACTACATGGGAGTCCAGCAACGTAACTGTTATGCGATCTACTGGTCCATAGCTTGCTTTTCTTTTTAAGAGTTTTTTTTTGCCATAGGGCGCATGCAGTCATTAGAGAGTGAGAAATCACTTCCCCTCCGTGGGGAATGGCCATGCCACAATCCTTTCTCCTCAGTTTTCCTCTTGGGATTTTGGACACACACGCACACATGCCCAACATGAGTTTCAAGCCGCCAGATCTAGGTCTTGAACCACGGTCAGCCATGTGGGAGTCCAGAGATGTTACCACCATGCCATCTGGTGGCCCCTACATGTTAACTTTCTTAAGAAAAATAAAATGAAAATAAAACATTCTCATCTCTTCTAGACTTCAGTGCCAAAGTTGTTACACCTACATAAAGTATATCAAGTTATCTCAATAGCATTTAAAAGACTTTTATTTCAGTTTCAGCTGAGGGGAGGAGAGGTATAATTTGAAGAGAATGTCACTTATCAAGAAAACAGCAAGAATAACGTCCTCTTGCCCTTAATAAATTGCCAGCTTTTTAAAATAATTTGTTAATGCATTTTGAATTTGTCCTTATTAACAAATAGCTAAATAGCTGTATTTTTTTGTATTCAGTTTATAGCAATGATATCTACTTTCATAATTAATAAAACTAGCCGGTAAGTGAGATAACATCCCACCAGTCTATTTACTTAGAACTGAAGGGTTGTAATAGTGGTAGAAAACAGATTATAATCCTATATATCCTGTAAGCCCCTCAAAGTGTTTCTAGACTGCTTAAGCGTTGAAAGCAATAAAGCCCTGCAAGAGATACATGAATCAAAATGAAAAGGCTCACTGTGGTGTTGACAGTGGGAGATGGGACGACATTGTGAGTCTTACTGGAAACTTCCATGCACATCGTATTGTGTGATCTTTGTATGGAAGTCTTAAAATATAGCCTAACCTATGTATAAATGCAAGTTTGGTTTCTTTTTTAGAATTTAGAATTTTGCCATAGGACATGTATCGTAGCTGGAGAGAGACACAGAGACAGGGAAAGTGAGAAATCACCCCCTGGAGAGATGGCCACACTGCAATCCCTTCTTCTCCATTCTCCTCTGAGGATTTTAGACACATGCACCTGGCATGATTTTCAAGCTGCCAGGTCCAGGACTTGAACTGTGGAATTGGCCATGTGGGATCCAATGCCTTTACCACCACACTACCTGCTGGCCCCTAAATACAACATTTTTTAAATACTCTTCTCGTGCTGGAGATAACCGAAAGGGAAAAAAAAAATAGGGATAGTCTTGGAGAGGCTTATTCTTATTATGCTGTTACTGCTTCAGTTCATTACTTGTATTGGTGTTTGTGAGTTTTGCATGTCTGGACACTGTATTGGTTTATGCATATTATTTGCAGAGTTGAATTATTACCAGAGGTTTTTGCAGTTTGAAAAGTACAGCTTTTCTTCTTTATGTTGTCATTCAAAGTCTAGAACATTTTTCTTCTAATATGTGGGCCTGCAACACGGGGGGAAAGAGAGAGCTGCAGAAATACCTGTTTCATGAATTACATCATTTATAAACCTGCCTCGGAATGCAAAAGCCTTAGGTTTTATTCGAACAGTGAATTTATATTAGTCCTCTATTCAAAAATGCCTTCAAGATACTAAATCTAAGCCTTAAGCACCATTCACAGATGAGTGTGTTACTCCTCGGCTCTGGTTTGGGAGGTGCTTGGACTTTTTTTTCTCAGTCTATCTTTAATTCCCAGTCATTTGGTGGTATGCTGTAGTTCAGGTCCTCTCTAATAACCACGTACTGCTTTTCAGATCCCAATTATTCGGTGCTATCACCACGAATTTGCCCTCTGTCATTGGGACAATTCTGACACTGCTCCATCCAAATTTATAGCGCATTTTCCCCAACTCAGTAAAGGTACTGGTTTATGGTGTTCAAGATTAAGTGTTTAACTGAGTGTATGTGTGTGTGTGTGAGTGTGTGTACATAGGTAAATGTGTGTGTGTGTGTGTGTGTGTTGCCATGGGTGTGTTTCAGTGCACATCGATTTTTGTATATTGTTTTTCCCCACCTTGCAAACCACAAAACTAAGAAGTGTTAACTGTCTGGAAAAAACTAGACTCGACTACAAAATACCATCAACTTGAGCACACTGAGTTTGAGAATGGGCGATTTGGCATCTCCTGGAATATGATGTTATTTGCTAGTGACATTTTTACCAAAATAAAACCCCTTCCCCTTATTTTGCAGCTCTTTCTCTGCCCTCCCCTGTGTTGCAGGTTTGTAATGTGTGAGCACAATTCCTGGGTGAATTTCCTATTTGCCTCTGTGCGTGTTATTTGTGGCAGAGAACTGTGCCCGGTCAGCAGCTCTAGACCTGGAGCCCGTGGACACTATATGCTGGGCTTCAGTGGAAACAGAGATCTGCTTAATTTTGCCCCAGGTGAAGGAGTCCAGCGGTTCCTTGCCTGAACTACTGGAAGGTTCCCACATCCTCTTTGTCCCATTAGTTGAGATGACTTGCAGTAGAAATTGTCCAGTGAGTGTTAAGAACTTATTGAAAGATATCTTAGTTTTCTAGTTTTGTTGTTAGGGCTAAAAGTGAGAATTGTTACTTCCATGTTAAATGTTAAATGAAAATAAATGCTGATTTAATATTTCTATGCTTAGATGCTTGAATAAACCAGAATCAACAATTAGTTTTGGAGTCTTTCCCATAAATGCTGGGATTTTGGAACTGTGAAGTTGGATTGGTAAAAAGCTCTTTTAAATCCCTGGCTTGCAGAGCTATGCATTATAAGCCTAGACAAATAAACTGTTGTTTTTGAAATTCTGGCTCTTTTGTGGCCAGTGGAAACCTACTTTCAAAAAAGCTATTGCTGACAGTTTAAAGAAAGGGAAGGAGTACTAAATTTCTTCTGTGTTATCTGAGTATATACCTGCATTCTCTTTCCTGGCCTTTAAATCATTTGAAAATACAACAGTGTTTACATTGTAGCTTTTCCATTGGACAGCTGTTTTGGGAAACTGGATAAGAGTACCTTTGTAGGGGCTGGACTTGGTCCTGCCTAAGAGTCTCAACTATTTGGGAGGCTGAGGCAGGAGAGTTGCTAGTTTGAGGCCAGCCTAGGCAATCTGACAAGACCTTTCTAAGAAGAAAGAAAAAAAGAAAGAAAGAAAAGAGAGAGAGTACATGTGTAATACAACATCACTGATATTTATGTTAAACTTTTATATTATGCAATGACAAATATATATGTAACAGTTCCAAAATCAAGAGATAAATGGGAAGATAATGCAACTGTAAATGCTATTTCTCAGTAAATTCAGCATGATATTAAAAAATTAAATAGTTTACTCATGTTTTTCCATTTTACTTTACTGATTAAAGCAGGCATCTTAATTTACTGATTGGGAAATCTACCTTTATAGATATTTTGTTTCAAAATGCATTACTGATGAAGTTTTCAAAACTATCTTTTGGAGAAAAAAAAAAAAAAACTCAGAAAGATTGCATCTCAGTAACACTTTGTTTTTTTCCTAGCTCTACTTTTAAAGTCAAAATCATCTTTGGATGATCATCCAAGCATTTTACTGAAATGCTTTAGAGAAATAACACTGTCATTGGAGAAAATACCTGCTTTAAATAAGTTGTCTTCTTCCATTTCTTCCACTTTGCTTTATGTTGTAGACCATACTGTCACCATATTCTCACTTTTGACAAGGCTCAATGCACTTTGAAACTTTGCCGAGCGTTAAAGAGCTCAGGACGGACGTTGTCAGGATGCTGCAGAGGGAGATACAGAGGTGCTGTCGGTCTAGGACGGAGGAAATAGTGGCAGCCTGGAGCCCAGTAACGTTGCATTTTATTGGTCATTAGTCAGAGATAATTAATATTCTTGGAAATTAATATCCTTGGAACGCCCTGGGCGCGGGCAGGCAGGCCGGAAGGAGCAGCAGCTGGCAGTACGAGCCTGCGTTTGGGGACAGACTGTCTATGCCCCCTGGAGTGAGGAGCAGTTAACTACACCGACTTTATAGGAAACTTAAAATAAATTTCATTCCTCACCCGCCAGATTCTCTGCTAATATAGTAGTACCTTTGTTTCATGGCTAAGAAGGATAAACATAAATAGAAAAGAACATAAGCCTTTAGTCATTTTAAGATTTTTTTGGTGGGAACCAGCAGTTAGTGTAATGGCTATGTTGCTGGACTCTCATGTAGTCGACCGTGGTTCGCGTCCCGGACCCGGTGGCTTAAAACTCACGCCAGACGCGTGTGCGTGCGTGCCCAAGATCCCGAGAGAAGAATGGAGGAGAAGGGATTGCGGCGTGACCATCCCCCTTGGGGGGTGATTTCTCGCTTTCTGTCTCTGTCTCTGTCTGTCTGTCTGGGGAGCGCACGCACCCTATAGCGAAAATCTCTCCAAAAAAAAAAAAAAAGATTTTTTGGTGAATATTCGTAAAATTAAGACAGTTGTAGAAAGAAATAATGTAAAATATAGCACTTGGAGAGCTGATAAAATGCCTTTGACATATGTCACTTAGCCTATTAACTGAGTACTTTCACGGGACAGGAGGGGAAAAATGGAATGAGAAACCTTCTAAGCCCATAGATTAGAGCAAAGTCACCTTCCCCAGGGGCTTGGTAGACCTTACTCCCCCCCCCCAACCCGCTCCCCCCCAGCCAGGCTAATGAAATGCCAGTGCTCGTCAGCCCTGACACCTGGTCTGTACACAAAGGTGCTGTTTTAATTACTAATTTAAGTCAGCTCCACTTTATATGAGTAGAGGCCATTGGGAGACACTGATGCCATTTACCAAATTAGATTAGCGACCTTTTGTGTTTGCATGGAGCCTTGTTACTGAGTTAAGTACTTGTTCCTCTGCATGCTGTTACTTACATAGTTCCTCTGCATTTTGTTTGCATAGCTCTAGTTAAATTAGCTTGATACATCTCAGTGTTAGTTTATCATGCCTGTGTTTTATTTTGTAATAAAAATTCCATACCCGATCCTTTGGTTGTTACTAACTGGTACTCTTTTTCGTAATATTTGTAGCAACGCTTCTGGCCTCTGGGACTACTGCGACAGTAGCCCTGTTGCGAGATGGGATCGAACTGGTTGTAGCCAGTGTTGGGGACAGCCGGGCCATTTTGTGTAGAAAAGGAAAACCCATGAAGCTGACCATTGACCATACTCCAGAAAGAAAAGATGAGAAAGAAAGGTACAGCCACTACTGATCAATCCTTTTATGCAATGACATTTGTAGTTCAAGACAGAAATGAAAATTTGCAGGCCAGTGGGTGACGTGGTGGTTAAGGCAGCTGGATCCCACATGACCAACTTCATGGTTCAAGTGCTAGACCTGTGGCTTGAAAATCACACTGTGTGTGTGTGTGTGTGTGTGTGTGTGTGCGCGCGCTCAGAATCCAGGGAAGAGAATGGAGGGGAAGGAATCATGGCATGACTATCCCCTACAGGGGGTGATTTCTCACTTTCCCTGTCTTTCATTCTCTCTCTTTCTTTCTCTCTCTCTCTGGTGGGAACATGTACCTTATAGCAAACTAAAACAAACAAACAAATGAAAAAAGTTTTTTTGAGAGATTGGTGCTATAGGGTGCATGTGCTTCTTGGAGAGGCCAAGAGAGACAGACAAAAGCAAGTGTTTTGTTTTTTTATTTTCCATCCATCAAAACCTTTATTAACATTTTGAACAGGTTCAACTATTACTGAAACTGGTTAATTTCTAAACTTGGGACAAATTGCTATCGTGCGGAGTAATGCCACCAGTGGGCACTGTGAATGCAAGACTAGAGAACTAACAGCCACCCCGCAGATGGAGGACCAGGTGCAGGGTGGACTCTTTCTGAATGTTGTAGTCAGAAAGAACATGGCCATCATCCAGCTGCTTGCCTGCAGCAATAAGCCTCTGCTGGTCAGGGGGGACGCCTTCTTTACCCTGGATCTTGGCCTTCACATTCTCAGTGGTTTCACCGGGCTCCACCTCGAGGGTGATGGTCTTGCCAATGAGAGTCTCATGAAGATCTGCATTTTGACCTGCCACTGAATGTGAAGATCCTACATACGAACCAAGCCGAGTCCTCTCGAACTGGCCACACACCCTCCTGAGAAAGCTGCTCGCCAGTGAATCAAAAGCAAGTGTTTTACCCTCCAATACTCACCATTGTGGCCGGCTCTTTATTTTTTATTATGTTATTTTAACTTTATTTTTTAATTTTATTTATTTGTTTATTTAAATTTGACCAGAGAGGGACAGTGTGAGAAAGAGAGAAAAGTGAGAAGGCACGCTGCCAGGTCTGGAATTCAAACCACCATCAGCCATGTGGGAGTCCAGTGCCACCTGTCGGCCCCAGAGAGTCATGTTTTACTGCTGTGCCACCATCAAGCCTTTGTGTGTGTGTGTGTGTGTGTGTGTGTGTGTGTGTGTGTGTGTGTATTATAGGGTGTATGTGCTTGCCAGAGAGAGGGAAAGTGAGAAATCACCCTCTGAAGTAGAATGGGCATGTCATAAACCCTTCTTCTCTTTACCTGTTGGGATTTGGGGCACACATACACACACCCACTATGATTTTCAAACCACTGGATCTAGGACACAAACTGTGATCAGTCAAGTGGGAATCTAATGCCTTAACCACCACACCACCTGCTGACTCCTCAGGGCCCTTTTGTTAAAAAAGGGTCTCACTGTGTTGCCCAAGCCAAACTTAAGCCCGAGATCATCCTGTCCCAGTCTGCCAAGTTACTGGAGTTACAGACACAAGCATTCCATCTGGGTTTCAGGTTGGACTGGGAATTGAACCCAGGTACCCTATGTGGTTGGAGTCTGTGGATCACCCTGTCTCGGGAACACATGCCATCACAGATGGGCCAATTTTTGCATTTTTAAACAGATGACATGCTTAAGTTTAACAGTGAGTTGGTTTTTGCATATTACATCATTGTCTTTACCCTTTTCTTGGCCAGGATCAAGAAGTGTGGTGGTTTTGTAGCTTGGAATAGTTTAGGACAGCCTCATGTAAATGGCAGACTTGCAATGACGAGGAGTATTGGCGATTTGGACCTTAAAACCAGCGGCGTGATAGCAGAGCCGGAAACAAAGAGGATCAAGGTAAGAAAGGCCTCGAAAGGCTTAGTGCACCCAAGAGCAAATAGGGGACTGCCTTCAGCTACAAGCCTTCTTGGAAGCCTTAATTGAGGCCAAAATGATTTTTAAAAAATTTTGCCAGAGCTCACATTTGTTCTCTCAGAGAGAGAGAGAGAGATAAAAAGCAAGAAAGCACCCACGTGGAGAACGGTCACACCGCAATTTTTCTCCATTCCTCCATCCTGTCGGGATTTTGAAAACATCAGTTTTATTCTTGGTGGTTGATCCTCACTACTTTTGCCCTCTGAACGGGCTTGACATTTGTACTCTCAACCTCCACGCTCTTCACAGACCACTCGGGAAAACAGATAAAGTCCTGGCATCATTAAGGTTGCTCCAAGGTGAAGTCTAGTTTTTAACCAGATGTGTTCTGTTCTCCTTGCAGCTACAGCACGCTGAGGACAGCTTCCTGGTCCTCACCACGGACGGGATTAACTTCATGGTGAACAGTCAAGAGATTTGTGACTTTGTCAATCAGTGCCATGATCCCAATGAAGCAGCCCATGCGGTGACTGAACAGGTGACATAGCAGAACTGTTCAAAAAGTCCCAGGGGGGAGGGAGGGAAGGACAACCCCAGGTATGTGGTCTCGGGGCGGCCTTCAGTGGCTCAGGCATGTGGTCTCGGGCGGCCTTCAGTGGCTCAGGCATGTGGTCTCGGGGCGGCCTTCAGTGGCTCAGGCATGTGGTCTCGGGGCGGCCTTCAGTGGCTCAGGCATATGGCCATGGTCTCAGGGCAGCCTTCAGTAGCTGTCGCAAGCTTGAGATTTCTTTGACAACTTGTGTTTTAGCTTGAGCTTTATAATGGATTTTAATCCTGATTCCATCATATTTACAGTTAGAAACATTTTTACAATTTTTCCCAGAAATTAAGAAAAATTAATATGCCAAGGAAATGTGTTGGGTTTATGTTTTGACTTTGTACACACCTTTAAATAGTAGTAGAAACAGTAAATGACAACAGTAGTAAAAGAATGTGTCTAAGAAATATTAATATGCCAGGGAAATGTATTAGGTTTATGTCTTTGCCTTTTTGTTTTTGGCGAGGTCTTCGCTATAAGGCGGGTACGTTTGCCAGAAAGAGAGACAGAAAATGAGAAATCACCCCCCGGGGCAGGGGGATAGCCACACCGCAGTCCCTTCTCCTTCATTCTCCTCTTGGGATTTTGGGCACACACACACATGTGCCTGGCATGAGTTTAAGCCACTGGGTCCAGGACTCAAACCGTGGTCAACCACATGGGAGTCCAGTGATATAGCCATTACGCCAACTGCTGCTCCCTTCAGTGAGTATGTTTTACAGTTTGTGTTTTTACAAATTTTTGGTTTTTGTCATAGGGCACATATGCTTACCAGAGAGAGACAGACAGGGAAAATGAGAAATCACTCCCTGGGAGGATGGCCACATCGCAGGCTCCACTCTTCTCCATTTTCCTCTTGGCGTTTTGGGCATGCGTACACACCTGCCCCACATGATTTTCAAGTGACTGGGTCTGGGACTCAAACTGTGGTTGGCCATGTGGAATCCCACCCCAACCTCCATGCCATCTGCTGGTCCCAAGATTTTTATTTCTTTGGGCTAACTTCCTAGAAGCAGAATTGCTGCCCACAGACCTTACGTGAAGACCCGACCGTGTGTCAGCCCACGCTAAATGCTCTGTGGTGCTCACTCTTCAGGAGTGGCCTGTCACTGCCCAGCGCACCAGTGTTTCTGATGCCAGAATCACTGCCGTGAAATAAGTTAATATGCTTGATTTAGGCCATCTGTTATTACATGTGCAATTTAATAAGCCTTGTGGGCATTGATACGGGGTGAAAGAACTACAAACGATTATGAAACGATTAGGTTCATAACCGTATGGAAAACCAGCTTGGCTTTCTAGAGGAATGATGATTTTTCTGTGTACAGACTCTGACTTCTGGTGTTTTCCCCTTAACTTCCTGCTAACCCTCGCAGGCGATCCAGTACGGCACCGAAGATAACAGTACTGCGGTCGTGGTGCCTTTCGGTGCCTGGGGGAAATACAAGAACTCTGAAATCAACTTCTCATTCAGCAGAAGCTTTGCCTCCAGTGGACGATGGGCCTGATTGCCGGCCGGGGCGTGAGATTTTTGTGCAACAGTTTTTCACTGAGCAGGTCAAGAAACCCATGAGATCCAAAACAGTGTCCTGTACCAGTGTGACCTTATGACTCGCTAGATCGGTACACAAGTCAGTGTGAACTTCATCGCCCCCAGAGTAGCTTTCCCGTCACTACCCATCGCATTTACGTCCAGCCGTTCATGCTCAGTATAAATCCACGTGCAATCAAGCTGCTAGTGTAGAGTGAGCAAATGAAAGGGCTCACTCGTGACACACTTGCTGAAAGTGTCACGTTTCTCATTTTTAAGATTCTTAGGCAGCTATAGGTTTCTTTTGATCATTTTCATTTTTTCTTCATTTGAACAAGTTCAAGTGCTTTAAAACTATCAGTTTGAACTTTTGACACCTCTACGATGTTATCTGCAAGTGTTCGTTTTGAATAACCGTACCAACGACTAAGTGTGAACACTGAGTTCTCCGTACCATATTTCGTATTCTGGACCACTGACTGATAGATGTAACCGTGTAAAAGAAATTAATTCAGATAATATGACCTTGTTAATTTATATACATGTGTATAAACAGCTTGCTTACGTATTTTACTTGTGCAACCGGCCTCCCATCCCCATTCATTCCTATTTTTCTGTAGGTAAGAATGCTATATAGATGTGACAGTTTCTTTTTTTTGGAGAGAGATTTTTGCTATAGGGCGCGTGTGCTCTCCAGAGAGACAGAGAGATGAAACAAAAAGTGAGAAATCACCCCCCGGGGGGAATGGCAACACCACAATTACTTCTTTTCCATTCTCCTCTCGGGATCTTGGGCATGCACGCACACATGCCTAACATGAGGTTTAAGCCAACAGGTCTGGGACTCGAACTGCAGTCAACTACTTGGGAGTCCAGCAACTTAACCATTATGCTATCTGCTGGTCCAAACGTGACAGTTTCTTAATATCAGAAAAAAGGATGCACAAGCTGGGTCTTTTGATCAAAACAATACAAATTTAAATACTGACAGTATCAAGTGTTCTGTATAGTTTTCAATTGTTACCTCTAACTTACATTTTGTGTTTTGTATGAAGTATGCTTATGCCACTTTTTGTATAGAGTAAGCGAGTTGGATAATTTGTTGGTGGACTCATATCTATAGACATAGATTGAGGTTTATGTTTTTTGCTTATTTCTAAGACTTTGGGAGAAAGCATAAACCTAAAATATTGAAAAATTCCACCTTTCAGCTTGCTATGTCATTTGGGAGTATAACACCGTAGTTCTTTTTATCTGCATGTAAGTTCGCTGTTGAAATGTGGATCTCTAAATGTGTGTTTGGAGTTATATCTGCCATCTATTTCTGCAAACTGTAAATTTGTTGTGTGTGTGTACATATGTATATTTTGGAGTAATATAAATTAAAGGGAACAATCTTGCATAGTTCCTTCAGTAGTTAGCTGTAAATTATTGATAAACTTATCCTAAAGACTCTTGACAGGTGGCAGCAAGTGGAGTGGTGGTTAAGGCACTGGACTCCCACATGGTTGACTCTGGTTCAAGTCCCGGATTTGCTTTCTCACTTTCCTCTTTCTCTCTCTGGTGAACATATATGCCCTGTAGAAAATAGAAAATAATAATAATAAATAAAATTAAGTAATTCTTTAAAAAAAAATACTTTTGACAAATAGAGGGCAGTTTCTTAAAATAGAGAACTGGTGGTTATTTGCAGTTGAGGCAAATTTAAAATGATTTAACATGACCGTAGGAGATGTGTTATGGTGGGTAATTAATGTAGAAAACCCGGGAAGAGTGCCAGCATGTTGAAGCTACATTGTCATATGTAATTTTCATACCAGTGACAGGATGTGAGAAAAGTTGTGTGTGTTAAGAATGACATGGAATTTTGTGGTAGAAACGAAAGAAAAATAAGCCCAAAACCAGTTTGCTGTAGTAAATATTTTCATCTCCCAGTTTTCAGGATTGACATTCTTTAAGTTTTTTAGAAAAGTTTTTTGAGATGGAAGAGGGCCCCAAATAAAGATTCACCTACTCTAACCTCTTTGGAAATGGAAGATAAACCTTGAGTTTTAATTCATCTGGAATTGTCTTTTGGAAAACAAGTACTATAAAACAGTTTCTTTTTTGGGGGCTAAGGAGGTTTGATTTGTCCGGGAAATGCGTACCCGAAGGTCAAGCTGGAAAACGTCTTGCTCTTCCTAAGTCAGTTACTGGACCAGAAATGTGAACGCTACATTTAGGAGTGTA